AAATCATTTGTGTTGTCGTAGACAAGGGAGGTTAGTAGTAATGGGAACCAGGGAGAGAACAGCCATGAAGTGATATGTTTTGTCGTAAACAAGGGAGATTAGTAGTAATGGGAATCAGGAAGGGAACAGCTATGAAATGATTTGTGTTGTCGTAGACAAGGGAAGTTAGTAGTATTGGGAACCAGGAAGGGAACAGCTATGAAGTGATTTGTGTTGTCGTAGACAAGGGAGGTTAGTAGTAATGGGAACCAGGGAGGGAACAGCCATGAAGTGATATGTTTTGTCGTAGACAAGGGAGGTTAGTAGTAAGGGGAACCAGGAAGGGAGCAGCTATGAAATGATTTGTGTTGTCGTAGACAAGGGAGGTTAGTAGTAATGGGAACCAGGAAGGGAACAGCTAGGAAGTGATTTGTGTTGTTGTAGACAAGGGAGGTTAGTAGTAATGGGAACCAGGAAGGGAACAGCTAGGAAGTGATTTGTGTTGTTGTAGACAAGTGAAGTAAATAGTAATGGGAACCAGGAAGGGAACAGCTATGAAGTGATTCGTGTTGTCGTAGACAAGGGAGGTTAGTAGTAATGGGAACCAGGAAGGGAACAGCTATGAAATGATTTATGTTGTCGTAGACATAGAAGGTTAGTAGTAATGGGAACCAGGAAGGGAACAGCTATGAAGTGATTTGTGTTGTCGTAGACAAGGGAGGTTAGTAGTAATTGGAACCAGGAAGGGAACAACTATAAAGTGATTTGTGTTGTCGTAGACAAGGGAGGTAAGTAGTAATGGGAGCCAGGAAGGGAACAGCAATGAGATGATTTGTGTTGTCGTAGACAAGGGAGGTTAGTAGTAATGGGAACCAGGAAGGGAACAACTATGAAGTGATTTGTGTTTTCGTAGACAAGGGAAGTAAGTAGTAATGGGAACCAGGAAGGGAACAGCTATGAAGTGATTCGTGTTGTCGTAGACAACAGAGGTTAGTAGTAATAGGAACCAGGAAGGGAACAACTATGAAGTGATTTGTGTTTTCGTAGACAAGGGAAGTAAGTAGTAATGGGAACCAGGAAGGGAACAGCTATGAAGCGATTCGTGTTGTCGTAGACAAGGGAGGTAAGTAGTAATGGGAACCAGGAAGGGAACGGCTATGAAATGATTTGTGTTGTCGTAGACAAGGAAGGTAAGTATTAATGGGAACCAGGAAGGGAACAGCTATGAAATGATTTGTGTTGTCGTAGACAAGGGAGGTAAATAGTAATGGGAACCAGGAAGGGAACAGCTATGAAATGATTTGTGTTGTCATAGACAAGGGAGGTTAGTAGTAATGGGAACCAGGAAGGGAACAGCATGAGCGTCTGTATAAAGCAGACATAAACTATTTGTCTGGGTTTTTTTTAAACTCCTTTTTTTGTGTCTTCCCTATAATTTTCAACACTTTTAAAATTATAGCTTTACCGCAGTCACCTTATTTCTAGATATATATTATCACCACCCTCATACAGCAACTCATTGTATGGTCTCGTCTGTGTAAAGCTGACATAATCTATTTGTTTTCTCTTCCCTATATTTTACTACCTTTTAAAAATGAGTGAAAGAAGACACCAACATATAGATAGACGGACATAAAACAGACGGGGTGGGGGTGGGGGGGGGGGGGGGGAAGGTTGCTGAGTCTCCGAGTTCTTGGTACTTTAGTATATATGTATGTTGCAATAACAACAACAACAGAGACAACATCAAAAATACACTGTGCACTATAAAGTTAATTCGCGACATAAGTAGAGGATTACATGAAATGAACACAATTTATGCCAGCGGTTCTCAACCTGTGAGTCGCGACCCCCTTTTTTCTTTTCGTAAAACGACCTTTTCACAAAAGCCGCCAAAGATCATCGCAAAACACAAATTCATTGAAGTTATGAAGTAGCAACGACAATAATTGTATGTCTAGGGGTTGACACAATATTAGGAACTGTATTAAAGTTTCCCGACATTAGGGAGTTAGAGAGCTCCCAATGTACACTAGCTCATTGTTTAATAGACAGTGTTCATGATCATTATGCTTGGCTTCTTTCTGGGGTTTGGGACATTTATCTTGCTGTTCTTTTGCGTGTGTCTTTTTTTTTTTTAGATAGGAAACTTGTAAACTGTATGTCTGACATGTTTACTGCTCTATTCATTGATTACGTGTTGTGTGTGCGTGAATTTGCCTGCGGTTTTGTGTGGATAGATTTAGTTTGTTCTGTTGCATTTCTGAATGTAGCATCAGGACTTACACTGGGTTGCATTTATATACCTGACGTTGGGTCAGCCAGGTGCCGTCTCCGCAACCAAGACTGGCTGCAATGAATCGCCAGTATTCTCTGTCTCTCGTCCTGGTTGTGCTCTCTCTCTCTCTCTCTCTCTCTCTCTCTCTCTCTCTCTCCCTCTCTCTCTCTCCCTCTCTCTCTCTCTCTCTCCCTCTCTCTCTCTCCCTCTCTCTCTCTCTCTCTCTCTCTCTCTCTCTCTCTCTTAGTTTGCTTTATATGTTCTTGTATACTTCTCCCAATTGTAGCGCTGTCTACCTTTTATTCTTTTACCTTCCACTTTACTTTCCAATTTTGTTTCTCTAAGAGTGTTAGTAATTGTCGTTTTAAATAACATGGCAGCCATGATAGGGCAGTCGGTGGGTGTTTACTTGCAACGTCGAAGGACTTGGGTTCGAATCCGCTTTGATGCTGATTTGTATATTTGAGATAAGGCTCCAAGGTCTTGGCAGCATAAATGGTTACCACCAGTTCTCCATGAACAGTAAGGACTACCGGAATGATGTTGATTACATTATCTGTCCAGCGCCATTGATAAGTTCATACAAATATAGTTGTATGGATCTATGCGAAATGTGGCTGGATAAACAAACAAAGATAGAGCCCAATGAAAAACTAAGAATGATGGTAGGCACATGTATTGGGGAAATAATTTTAAAGAACATGACAGAATCAATTGGTTGGTCACCTGGTGAGAAAGGAACAAAAAGGCATTAGCAGTAGAATGAAAGAAGAAAAAGATGGGTTTATGGCTACAGGTCTGATGCCCCAGTGGCGCGAAAAGGGACTTTTACTTCCTTCTGCCATCTGGAATTTATGTTTCTTCGTAAATGTTGGATGTGGTATTTCTTTGAAAATCTGTAAGCCTTTCTATCTTATACATACATAAAAACTTTAATAACATCAACAACAACACATTACAACATCTACGAAAATATTAATCCGACATAAGTAGGAGAGTTAAATCAACATAATCTGTATGGATACATTGTTTAAAGACAGAGTTTACGTTCCCAGTGCTTGGCTTCTTTCTCAGATTTAAAGACATTTTTTCGTTTTCCGCTTTTTTTTCTTTAAATAGAATTTTTTTTTTTAGATAGGACATTTTAAAATTGTACATATAATACAAAAAGCCTGCATGAAAGTATTTCTTTAATGTAACAACAACTTTTTTTTTTTTCCTTTCAAAACCGTATTCATTATTAACGAGTTATGCGTGCGTGTGTTCGTGTACGATTTTGCACGTATAAATTTAGTTTGTTCAGTTGCATTTTGAATGTAATTCAACGCCTTAAACTGGGTCGTATTTCAATACTTCGTGTTCAATCAGGCAGGTGACGCCTCGACAATGAAGTAAATCTCCAGAAGTCTCTCGTCCTTGTTGTACACACTCTCACTCTCTTCCTCTTCCTCTCCCTCTCTCTCTCTCTCTCTCTCTCTCTCTCTCTCTCTCTCTCTCTCTCTCTCCCTCTCTCTCTCTCTCCCTCTCTCATACTCACGAACATACAAATAGACTGATTGTTTTCCATCTTTGTATGGTATCCTCAAATTTAAAATGCTGTTGCCTCTTGTTCTCATGTTTTCATTTTTATTCTCCTATTTTTTTGTTTACCTAAGAGTTTTATTTTGATATTTTAAAATATTGTCGAAGCCACCGTGGCACGGTCGCTCGGCGTTTGCCTGCAAACCCGAAGGACTTGGGTTCAGATCCGCATCGACGCTGATTTTTGTAACTGAAACAGGGCTCCCAGCTCTTGCCAGCAATAAACGGTCACCAGGAATTGTCTGAAGTAAAAGCTGTGGGTATAATGTTGAACAAATCAATCATGGAGCTCCATTGAGAAGTTACAACAAATATGGGTGCCCCAGGGGTGCGAAAGGGGCCATCTACTTCCTAGCACCATCCCCAATTTCTGCGCAAATGTATTATAAAATGTTTCCTTGAAAATCTTTAAGCCCATCTATCTTATACATTCCTTTGAAAAAATGACAATTGTCAAATGTTATGCATACTCAACCCTACAACATGGTGCAAAAAAACTGGACAATGAACAAGCAACTAGAAAATCTGTTTGACTCTCTGGAGCTTTGGATATAAAGAAGAAAATGTGTGTTATGGTAGTAAACACAATTAAATACAACGGTTCCGAAGAAACAAGAAATGAAAACATTATACAACAAGCCTGCATGGAAGTACTACTTTAATTTAAAGTCAGACATAAAAAACACAACTTATTTCAATAAAAATTACGACACTTTTATTTCTTGCTAGAGAATGTCAGGTTTCACGTATGGGGTTTAAAAAAAAAGCAAATTACATTTATTTCATATTTTTTTAGCGCTGGGGTAGACATAAGGTAAACTTTTGGTGGCTCGCATATTTTTGAATTTCCTAAATGATTCATACATTTAAAAAAGACTTGATAAACTTTTTTCATTTTATTTAAAAACACTGTCATCGCTGTGATAATGTTAATGAGCAAGAAATCTGTAGATTAAAAAACTAGCCGAAGTGTTAAAATTTCGAAAATGGCAGGGGAATTTAAAAGGATATATATATATATATTGTTTGTTGTTGTTTAGCTTAAATGTTTCTTATCACAAAGAGCTCCCATAGACTGCTGTACACAACGAAGTCACTCCTAGTGCCCAGCACGTGACCTGGTGGGCAGAAGAACATCACGTGAGGATACAGAACTGTGGATCTATCTACCTAGGGTTGCTTCACATCTGCAGTTGTTGCCCCACAAATTGCATCTGGATGAGGAGAAACAAAAGATTTAAAAAAATGAAAATCATTTCGCATAACTCGTATTTGCTTAACTGGTGTATAAGTTATTTCATTCCATTCGACGACGAAGAAGAAAGAGGAAGGAGAGAAGGAAGAGAACAACGAACCAAGAAACACTTTTTTTTTTTCAAAACTTCACAAATTGGGCACGCAGGCCCGTCTTAGATTCGGCCCTTCCAAACACCTGTCTTTCACACTGCAGTTGTATTCTATTAATAAGGCATGTTATATTCATATAATAATATGCATTTTGTGAATATCAAGGGAAAGAAAAAAAAACACAAAATAAAGAATAGAAGACGGAGTTCGTTGTATTCTTATTCGCAGTAATAGTAGTAGCAGTAATATCAGCAGTAGTAGTAGTAGTAGTAGCGGCTGCAGCCGAAGCATCATCAGCTGCAGCAGCGGTACTCGTAGTAACAGTATTATTATTGTAATTTGTTGTTGATGTAGTAGTAGTAGTAGCAGCAGCAGCAGCAGCAATAGCATCAGCAGCAGCAGCAGTAGTAGTAGTAGTAGTAGTAGTAGTAGTAGTGGTGGTGGTGGTGGTGGTGGTAGTAGTAGTAGTAGTAGTAGTAGTAGTAGTAGTAGTAGTAGTAGTAGTAGTAGTAGTAGCAGTAGCAGCAGCAGCAGTAGTAGTAGTAGCAGCAGCAGCAGCAGCAGCAGCAGCAGTAGTAGTAGTAGTAGTAGTAGTAGTAGTAGTAGTAGTAGTAGTAGTAGTAGTAGTAGTAGTAGTAGTAGTAGTAGTAGTAGTAGTAGTAGTAGTAGTAGTAGTAGTAGTAGTAGTAGTAGTAGTAGTAGTAGTAGTAGTAGTAGTAGTAGTAGTAAAAGAAGAAGAAGAAGAAAAAAAAAAAAAGAAGAAGCATGGAAGGGGCTCAACTCAGCCAAAATTTGCTCTGTTTTCTAGACTGCATTATAACCCTTCCCATGGCGCATTTAATCGTATGGTTCTAGTCTCATTTCATCATAAGCCCCAGCGCATTTACTTCCCCACAGCATTTCCAGGCATTCGTCTATCGACCCGGGAGCGTCGGCCAATGTTAGCACACCAACCTTGATGCGAATCTGAATCTAAGACCACTAGACTGGTAGGCAAACGTGTTAACAAATGCGCTACCGTGTGTCTCGACAGAGAATACAGTAAGGGCCGATTACAGCAAGAAGTAGTAAAGGACCTAGTATAGAAAAGAGTAGTAAAGGAGTGACCACAGAAAGAAGCAGTAAACGAGCGACTCCAGTAAGAAGTAGTAAACTAACGACTCCAGTAAGAAGTAGTAAACAAGCGACTTCAGTAAGAAGTAGTAAAGGAAAGACTCCAGTAAGAAGTAGTAAAGGAAAGACTCCAGTAAGAAGTAGTAAAGGAAAGACTCCAGTAAGAAGTAGTAAAGGAAAGACTCCAGTAAGAAGTAGTAAAGGAAAGACTCCAGTAAGAAGTAGTAAAGGAAAGACTCCAGTAAGAAGTAGTAAAGGAAAGACTCCAGTAAAAAGTAGTAAACGAGCGACTCCAGTAAGAAGCAGTAAACGAGAGACTCCAGTAGGAAGTAGTAAAGGAGCTACTACAGTGAGAAGTAGTAATGTACCTAGTACAGTAAGATGTAGTAAAGGAGTGACTACAGTAAGAAGTAGCAAATGCCCGACTACAGTAAGAAGTAGCAAAGGACCGAGTACAGTAGGAAACAACAAAAAACAAGTATAGTAAGAAGTAGCAAAGAACAGAGTACAGCAAGATGTAGTACAGTACCGAGTACAGTAAGAAGTAGTAAAGTACTGAATACAGCAGAATGTAGTACTGTACCGAGTACAATAAGAGGTAGTAAACTACTGAGTACAATAAGAAAGAATAAAAGATCGAGTACAGCAAGATGTGGTAGAGCAAAGAGTAGCAAAGAACGGAGTACAGCAAGATGTAGTACAGTACCGAGAACAGTAAGATGTAGTGCAGTACCAAGTCAGTAAGAAGTAGCAAAGTATCCAATACAGTAAGAAGTGGTGAAGTACCGAGTACAGCAAGATGTAGTACAGTACAGACTACAGTAAGAAGTAGTAAAAGGTCCCTTTTCCCTCAGTGATACATCGGGTTTATGGTGCTCCTGAAATTGTCATCATCCACATCCACACAGGCAGAATGCTAGCGTCTCCGTTTCAGATGCTCCTATTTTAATTTATTTGAAGAATGAATGGGCTTCATGCGATTTACCATATTGGTCCACCATCCGTAATATCGGTTTTCGTTTTCCATCATAGGGTGGTCACACCTTCAGGTAGCAGCGTGGACGGACAAATTTGATACTTGCCCTAAATTTTTACAGACCAGTCAGCAGTCGATGGGAGATGAAGGTCAACTTCACACTAGTCCACCTTCACCGCACACTGGCCCGCTTTCACCTCACACTGGTCCTCTTTCACCTCACACTAGTCCACCTCCACCTCACACTGGTCCGCATTCACTTCACACTGGCCCGCATTCACTTCACACTGGCCCGCATTCACCTCACACTGGTGCGCTTTCACCTCACACTAGTCCACCTTCACCTCACACTGGTTCGCATTCACTTCACACTGGCCCACCTTCACTTCACACTGGTCCGCTTTCACTTCACACTGGCCCGCATTCACTTCACACTGGTCCGCATTCACTTCACACTGGTCCGCATTCACTTCACACTGGCCCGCCTTCACCTCTCACTGGTCCGCTTTTACCTCTCACGAGTCCGCTTTTACCTCAGGCCGGCCTGCATTCTGCTAATACTGCTCCGCTTTCACTTCCCATGATATTTCCTTCTACCTATTTAAGACCGTGTCTAAGAGCCTTGATGGGAGATGAAGGTCAACTTCACACTAGTCCACCTTCACCGCACACTGGCCCGCTTTCACCTCACACTGGTCCTCTTTCACCTCACACTAGTCCACCTTCACCTCACACTGGTCCGCATTCACTTCACACTGGCCCGCATTCACTTCACACTGGCCCGCATTCACCACACACTGGTGCGCTTTCACCTCACACTAGTCCACCTTCACCTCACACTGGTTCGCATTCACTTCACACTGGCCCACCTTCACTTCACACTGGTCCGCTTTCACTTCACACTGGCCCGCATTCACTTCACACTGGCCCGCATTCACTTCACACTGGTCCGCATTCACTTCACACTGGTCCGCATTCACTTCACACTGGCCCGCCTTCACCTCTCACTGGTCCGCTTTTACCTCTCACGAGTCCGCTTTTACCTCAGGCCGGCCTGCATTCTGCTAATACTGCTCCGCTTTCACTTCCCATGATATTTCCTTCTACCTATTTAAGACCGTGTCTAAGAGCCTTGATGCTGACTCAAACACAGGATCTCTAGGCCCGCAAGATGTGTACTCGGATCCAAGACCTTCGCATCTACAGGCAAGCTTCTAATCATACACAGTACAATAGGGCCACTTACTTGCAGGCTCCATCGTTGCAACACTTGAGGAAGTTGTACTTGCTGATCAAGGCAGCGTCATGGGTGCAAGGGGACCTCCAGGGGATGCACAGCTTGCGTGTCTGGGGCATGCTGGAGACTGTCCTGGAGAAGATGGTTCACAGAGAGTGCCAGAATGTAGTCAGTGTGACAATGTCAAAGAATTACCACCACCACACCAAAGGTATCCCTAATAAACCAACACCAACACTACTACCCCACTATTACTACAATAACAACAATAATTACTACTACGACTCCTACAGCTGCTGCTGCTGCTACTGCTACTACTAATATCATCACCACCATCTACTACTACTTTTACCTCAGTTTCCCCATAAAATATAACCTTACTTGTATCTCAGTTCTCCCTGCAGTATCTCGGTATCTCAGTTCTCCCTGCAGTATCTCGGTATCTCAGTTCTCCCTGCAGTATCTCAATATCTCAGTTCTCCCTGCAGTATCTCAATATCTCAGTTCTCCCTGCATTATCTTGGTATCTCAGTTCTGCCTGCAGAATCTCCATATCTTAGTTCTCCCTGAATTATTTCCGTATCTCAGTTCTGCCTTCAATATCTCCATAACTTAGTTCTCCCTGTAGTATCTCCAAATCTTAGTTCTCCATGCAGTATCTCAATATCTCAGTTCTCCCTGCAGTATCTCTATATCTCAGTTCTCCCAGCAGTATCTCCATATCTTAGTTCTCCCTGCATTATCTCAGTATCTCAGTTCTGCCTGCAGAATCTCCATATCTTAGTTCTCTCTGTATTAACTCCGTATCTCAGTTCTGCCTGCATTATCTCCGTATCTCAGTTATGCCTGCAGTATCTCCATATCTTAGTTCTTTCCTATAATATCTACTACACGATTTCTTCCTATAATAACTGCTACTTCAAATCTCCTTTCGCGTGTCTTCAATTATTCCGACAATATCTCTCTATATGTACCGCTATTCTCTCTACAATATCTCCCGACAAGTATCTCAGTTCTTCTACAGTATCTCCCTACAGGTACCCGAGTTCTCTCTAGAGTATCTCCCTACATGTACCTCAGTTCTCTATACAGTATCTACCGACATGTACCTCTATTCTTTCTTCAATATCTCTCTTCATGTACCTTCGTTCTCTCTTCAGTATCTCCCTACATTTACCTCAGTTCTCTCTACAATATCTTTTTACATGTTCCTCGGGTTCTCTCTACAGTATCGCCTTACATTTACTTCAGTTCCCTCTACAATATCCCCCTACATTTACTTAAGTTCTCTCTATAATATTTCCCTACATTTAGTTCAGTTCCCTATACAATATCTCCCTGCATGCACCTAAGTTCCCTCTACAATAACTCCCTACATGTACCTCAGTTCCATCTATAAAATCTCCTTACATTTACTTCAGTTCTCTCTACAATATCTCCCTACATATACCTCAGTTCCCTCTATAATATCTCCTTACATTTACTTCAGTTCCCTCTACAATATCTCCCTACATGTGCCTCGTTTTCTCTCTACAGTATCTCCCTACATGTGCCTCGTTTTCTCTCTACAATATCGCTCTACGTTTACTTCAGTTCCCTTTACAATATCTCCCAACATGTACCTCAGTTCTCCATACAATATCTTCCTACATTTACCTCAGTTCTCCATACAACATCTCCCTACATGTACCTCAGTTCTCCATACAATTTCTTCCTACATTTATCCCAGTTCTCCATACAATTTCTTCCTACATATACCTCAGTTCTCCATACAACATCACCCTACATGTACCTCAGTTCTCCCTACATGTACGTCAGTTATTTCTACAATTTGTATTTAACGAACTCCCCTCCTCTTTTTTAAAATTATTTTTACGTTATTTTCGCGTCACCTTAGTACGCCTTTACAATATTTCCCTATATGAACCTCAATTCTCCCTCACAATATATCCTATATGAACCTCAATTCTCCCTCACAATATATCCTATATGAAGCTCAATTCTCCCTCACAATATCTTCCTTCATGTACCCCCTTTATTCATTTTTCCATATCTCCCTAAGTGTATCTCTAGTCTCACTTTACTATATTCAATGTACCTCAGTTGTCACTGCAATGTCTTCCACGTCTAAGTTCTGAGTACCTTATCTTCTATGTACCTAAATTCTCCCTACATATCTTCACGCGTTTACACCATTTCTGTTTACAAGATCTTCGTACCTGTACCTCATTTCTTCCCACACGTACCTCAGTTATTACCGTTAACATCTTCCCACAAGTACCTCAGTTATTACCGTTAACATCTTCCCAGAAGTACCTCACTTATTACCGTTAACATCTTCCCAGAAGTACCTCACTTATTACCGTTAACATCTTCCCAGAAGTACCTCACTTATTACCGTTAACATCTTCCCACAAGTACCTCACTTATTACCGTTAACATTCCCACAAGTTGCTCACTTATTACCGTTAACATCTTCCCACACGTACCTCACTTATTACCGTTACCATCTTCCCACAAGAACCTCACTTATTACCGTTAACATCTTCCCACAAGTACCTCACTTATTACCGTTAACATCTTCAAACAAGTACCTCACTTATTACCGTTAACATCTTCCCACACGTACCTCACTTATTACCGTTAACATCTTCCCACAAGAACCTCACTTATTACCGTTAACATCTTCCCACAAGTACCTCACTTATTACAGTTAACATCTTCCCACAAGTACCTCATTTATTACCGTTAACATCTTCCCACAAGTACCTCACTTATTACCGTTAACATCTTCCCACATGTACCTCACTTATTACCGTTAACATCTTCCCACAAGTACCTCATTTATTACCGTTAAGATCTCGCCAAACGTACCTCAGTTTTCCCCGATATCTTACCACACGTACCTCAATTATCCCCAGTAATATCTACTAACATATATCTCAGTTATCCCTACATCATCTTATTACACATACCACTGTATGTACCTGGATTTCCCCCATGTTTATAGGTGCTCCAGAATTATGTTGACTTTTCTCACGGGAATTGGGGATTGGGGGGGGGGGGGGGGGCCTCGGCGATAACAGCCAAGGTCAGACAGTGCCGCTACATCAAATATTAATGGAAAACAAATTGCGGTTTTAATGGACAATCAAATCAATCATGCAGAACGGCAATCAAAGTCTCGCTTTGTGCAGCGATCCATACATGCTGGGATTCTCATGGCATCATAATATCTCTCGTTGAGCTAACTTGATAATGATAGAACTAGAATATTTTTGCACTGGAAGCCACCGGGACAAGAGACATAAAGTGCACAGCACCAGACCGACCCACCCACACAAACCCACATACTCACACACGCCATGAGTAAAGGACCCTTGCTACGCCAGTAAAAGCACATGAGGCTAGAAACATACGTTCATACACCAATCGGTGCAGTGTGTAATGTGGTCGCCTTCACATCGGCCGCCTTTACTTTCCATGACATTACCTAGGACCCATTTTCAGGATGTCAACAAGAAAGCCAAACAGTGCTAAATTTGGGCATAAGCTAACTAAGTTATAAATTAGGGCCTCACAATCTGCAGTGACCTCAACACGTTCCTATTTTTCGTTGAGAAATGCGATAATATGTTCTTTCGTAATATCGTACCCACAGATGACGTCACAGGAAGTCCAACAATTTAGAGGGTGGTAAGACTGGGTTTCCCGATTTTCTAGTGCTTTTAACGGCCCCAAAACTTCTAGAACTCGCCCTAACCCCAACCCACCTACGTCCCACGAGACTGCAGCATAGGTCCCACGACTGCATGCAGCCTAGGTCCCACGACGGCATACAGCCTATCTATTACCTCCTGAAATAGTAGACTGTCCTGTGACCTATGGATTTCCCCTGTTTTGGGTAGGATATTAAGAAAGCACCCAATTATTTTTTAATAGCACCCATAAGGGGATCATACAATGTATCTTCTGTGATTATACAGACATCTTCTTTAATATTTCTTCTGCTAAACCTTAATCGACAATATTTTTCCATCATCGATATTTTAAAAGGAGCATATATTTTAAAGGTTTCTGAAATTACTTGGTGGTTTTTAAAACAGTAGGGGCCTCAAGGCTCTGTAAACACTAACTCTTTGAGTCCCAGAAGGTTTCGCATCAGAGGCCCAAGGGGAAAAGGGATATAAAACCGGTGTATCTTGCGTTCATTGAGCCTCGATGTAGGAACCTATGAAAGTACGATGCATACCTTGGTACTCAAAGAGTAGAGCCAAGATTTACTTTTAAAATTGTGTTGTGTTGTAATTCTACGTTTGGGTCACCAGGGAAAGGGCAACGGGCTGCACCACTGTTGCTCTCAGAGATCTTGTACTTTTTACTTTGTTTTACTTCGTGTGTCATTCAAAATCCAACCGCGTGCCGCACCGGGTATTATGACGTAGATTGCGAATGGCCGCAATGAAATGTGAAGCTAAACAATAGACACGTAAGCAGGACAGAAATGGCAGGATAACAGTCTGGGTAGAAAATGATATACAACTGTACTGATAACTAGGCTTTTGTTCTTTCCCAAGGTTGGCTGCAACCTTGGGCGCTCGGAACTGGCAAGCTCCACCCCCCCCCCCCACCTACGCCCCTGTCTTCCCGGCCCAAATAGTAAGGGGGGAAAATGCCTCCCCCCTACCCCTACCAAACTCCATAATCATTTCTAAAAGTTCCGTTTTTATGTATTTGAGCAGTTTATTTCCTTTTTAATTTATTATTTTATTTACTTGCTATTCAGAGCTCTCTGTGTGTGTGTGTAAAATGTAAAATACCTCCCCCCTACTCCTACTAAACTCCATAATCATTTCTAGAAGTTCCGTTTTTAAGTATTTGAGCAGTTTATTTCCTTTTTAATTTATTATTTTATTTACTTGCTATTCAGAGCTCTCTCTCTCTCTCTCTCTCTCTCTCTCTCTCTCTCTCTCTCTCTCTCTCTCCATCTCTCTGTGTGTGTGTGTGTGTGAGTGTGTGTAAGTGTGTGTGAGTGTGTGTTTGTGTGCGTGTGTGTTAGCGTCTGTGACTTAGGTGTTGCGAACGCAATTCGTAGTATCCAGGTACCTAGTTAATTCTAGCTACAAATGATT